GCTTTGCTGTAAGGCTCAGTGGGTGCCCCACCAGACCACTTCTCTGACAGGGAGAGAAGACAGAGCAATCAAGGGATTATTTTTGCCTGTATAAATAACCAGCTTATCAGCTGGACTCAGTGTCAAATTCTGAGCCAACAAAGCAATGGAAATCCAAATTAATAGCCCTACAGCCCTTCCCAGAGGCTGGAGGAAAATGGTGCACCTCAGATAGAGGATGTGGCCTAAAAGCCATAAATGATATATTTGAACCCAAAGGGATGATGTGCATTAAGAACTACTTTGGTTTGTAGAACATCCTAACCTGGATCCAACTGAAAACAAAACATCTCAATCTCTCATGATATAAAAAGCGAATGAAATGGAGAAGAAAGAAGGATAGAAAGTGAAATAACAAAGGGAATATTCTTCACAAAATAGTAACCAGTCAAATATTTGGAAACAGTGATCTCCTACCTGCTTGGGGAAAACCCCCTGCCTGGTGGCCTTGGGCCCTCTTGGATGTGTGACCAGGTGTCCTTATGTTCTTTTGTCACCAGCCCTTCATTTCTTTCTTTCTTTCTTTCTTTCTTTCTTTCTTTCTTTCTTTCTTTCTTTCTTTCTTTCTTTCTTTCTTTCTTTCTTTCTTTCTTTCTTTCTAGAGGAACGGAGAGGGAGAGAGAGAGAGAGAAACATCAATGATAAGAGAGACTCATTGATTGGCTGCCTCCTGCATGTCCCACACTGGGGATTAAGCCCACACCTGGGCATATGCCCTGACCAGGAATCAAACCATGACCTCCTAGTCATAGGTCAACACTCAACCACTGACCCAGGTTGGCTGGGCACCAGCCCTTTCTTGTTGGCTGAGAACGAGATGAGCCCCAGACCCATTCTTTCATTTTGTATTAGATAATGGCCCTTTGTGCCCATCTGTTCTCTGTGAACAGAGTCAAGGGGTGGACTCTATCAGGGGACACTTGGATAGTCATGCCAAGTGGCCATTGCAGGGGTGTTCGACCTTTTAGGTACTGGAGAGAATGACAAGGTCATATTCCTGCAACTTTTTGTTCAGTGCTTGGCTTGGACACATGAATCAATGCAATGAAAGAGACCTCACCTGTGAAGAGCCAAGACATGAGTGTGGGCCAGTTTGTGAGAAGAAAATAGATTGTTGAACACCCTTTCCGATGATGGTTGCCTCTTACAGCCCTGAACGTCTCACTCACCACTTATAAAAATATCCTCTTTATTGTATCAAAGCCTGGCAAGGAGAAGGATTTCTTTCTCGTGTCTTGGCCGAGAATTCCCCAGAAACAGAAGGTGGCCCCAAAGAACTAACCCCAGAAACAGGTAAGTGGTTGCCTCTAAAGAGTGGGGCAGGCATGGGCGAGGTGGGGCAGCCTCTTCGTTATAAATCCAAGCGCTGTTTTGTTTTGGTTGGAAAGGAAATATATATGTATATTTATTCCTTGTCTTCCTCTGCCTGGCTCAGGCCCAGGCCTCACTCTACCACCTCATGGGTGGGACAGGCCTCAGAGCTAAACATCTCAGGAACAGCCTCCTCAGGAAGCAGGCCACAGGGGGCAAGTGATGCACTGAGTGCTGCGGTCACACAGCTGAATGAGGCAGAGCCAGGACCCCTGCGGTCCCCCAGCTCTCGGTCTTTCCCACCCAACCTCCTCACTGCCCAGCCTGTGGCTTTCAGCCGAATGCCACCTGAAAAGCGATCTGGTGCCTGACCTCAGTGGCTCAGTGGTTGAGCGTCGACCTATGAACCAGGAGGTCCCGGGGCAATTCCTGGTCAGGGCACATGCCAGGGTTGCGGCCTCGATCCCCAGTGTGGTGTGTGCAGGAGGCAGCTGATCAATGATTCTCTCTCATCATTGATGTTTCTATCTCTCCCTCTCCCTTCCTCTCTGAAATCAATAAAAATATATTTAAAAAATAAAAAAAGGAGCATCCGGTTTCTGGGGGCCAGGTCACTACGGTCACGCCTCCTTGAGTGGGGGCAGCAGAGGAGAAGCACAGGGTCTCCTGGCCTGGAGGAGGAGAATATGCCAAGACAGCTCTGAGGTGGGACTGTGGCAGTGATGACACCTGCCAGCCTGAGGGTGCCAGGCTGTCTGCCAAACACCCACCAAAATTAGTTCACTTAACCCTCATGAATATTTAAGAGGCAGGTACTATTACCCACCCCCACTGTGTTACAGATGAGGAAACAGGCTGCCTTTGAGAGACAGGAATGAATCTAGACCTTTAAGCTCCAAGCTCAGGATTTTATCTCATGACGCACAGCCTATTAAGTCCTTGCTGTGGAGATTAGGGCACATGAAAAGGTCAAGATGCCTGGCCGGTGTGGCTAAGTGGTTGAGCGTTGACCTATGAACCAGGAAATCATAGTTTGATTCCAGGCCAGGGCAACGTTTCTGGGTTTTGGGCTGGATCCCCAGTGTGGGATGTGCAGGAGGCAGTGGATCAATGAATCCCTCTCATCATTGATGTTTCTATCTCTCTCTCTCCCTCTACCTTCCTCTCTAAAATCAATAAAAAAATATTTTTACAAAAGAGGTCAAGGTCATAAGCTGCAATAGAGGGAATGCTTTGAAACAAGCTTGGCTGCTTCTGGATGTGTTGTGCTTCCAGGCTTTCGTCTGTCTGGACACCAAGAGAGAAGGAGAGAGGGCAGGGAGGAAGGGAGGGAAGGGGGAGAGGTTAGAAGGGGACCAAGGCAGAGAAGCAGCTTCAGACCCCTCTGCCTTGACTGCGACTTACTTGATGAGGCCCCTGTGAGGGTAGCTCTGCCCACCCTTGTGGAGGTTGCACACAGAGGCAGGTGTCCTGCTCAGGATACACCAGATGACAGGCATGGGCACTGAGTTTACAGTTGTTGACCTGAAACAAATAGGCAGCCAGATATTTCTCTAGCAAAATGGGTTTATTTGGGAAAAACAAAGAATTGCCATTCAGGACAATTGCTGCCTAGCCTAATAGCAAACCATTCGAAGTTCTAACAAAGGGAGGAAATTCTTTCGTAGAAGAGGAATTCTGGAAAGCTAAGATAAACAGAGACGTCTTCCCGCTGGGCTACAGGAACCCATGAACCCACGCCCTTTTAAATGAGTTCCTGTTTATTACTTTTAATAGAATCAAGACAGCGCATTGCCCCCCCCCCCCCCCCCCCGCGCCAGAGTGGGCAGGGCAAAGTGTGGATGTCTGCCCAGAAAAGCAAGTTGCAAAAAAGCTGGTATAGTCTGAGCCCCTTTTGTAAAATGAATGACATTTAGTAGTATTCACTTAAGAAAAAAGTCTCCACAGAAAATGCCACAAACTCTGTGGTGGTCATCTCTGAAAGTTTCACATTAGGGAATTTTTAACTTCCTTTGTTGTGTGGGACGCCCAACCCACGTCAAATCTGAACTCTGCCCCGGAATTCCCCTTAAAATGAGAACTCAGGCTAAAGTGAAAGCATGTTGCACACAGCCTGTCTTCACAGAAAAACACGCTGCCGCCTGCCCCGGAGAGTGGCTTGTTTACCACAGATATGTGAGTAGGAAGAGGATCTTGCCTCCCTCCATGTGGCTGTGTGTCTGTGTCTGCGTGTGCATGGGTAGCTGGGCTTCCCCAGGCTGCACGTGTGGGTGCCCTTCCACAGCTGTTGCTGCTCTTGTGTGCACACCCCTGGATCTGTGAGCTTAACCGGCTGCTGTCTGGATAGTGTAGGTTGCCACCCAAGGGGAAGAAAAAAAGAGGGGAGATATGGGGATATAGAGGGTCTCAGAGCTCTTACTTACAGGTGAGTTTAAGCCTATGAACTGAGCTTCAGTTAAAAAAAAAAAAGAAAGAAAGAAAGAAAAAGGACAGTATTGGCTCTTGTAATTGAAAGATCAGACAGAGGCCGAAAACAAGGACTACAGGCTTTATTAGAGAAGACCTGCAGGGCTGTCTCGCAAGGGGAGGACAGCAACTCGTGCAGAGGTGAGCGCGCCTTTTGAGGGGCGGAAAGGGAAGGAATGGGGGCTTAGTATGCTCGGCACGTGCTGATTGGTGGCTTAATGTATGTTCCATATAGGAACAAGGGCTTAGGGGATTTGGCAGGTGTTGATTGGTGGTTCAATGTATCGTCCATATAAGGTACATGGTTAGTCGCTCAGGTGTCTCCAGGCTGCAGGTTAAGTCATACTCCGCCCACCAGTTGGGGGAAGGGAGGTTCTATCAGTAATTGCAAAGTCCCTCTGGGGTAGGGCTGATTTCAGGTACAATTGGGTACAAGGACTAGAATGAAGTCTTCAGGACATTGTGTCTCCACCTTTCAGAGGTGGGACAGTACAATACAATGAAAATATCACTTAATGGCAATGGTGTGTGTTTTTTTATATAATGTATTTTTATTGATTTCAGAGAGGCAGGGAGAGGGAGAGGGAGAGGGAGAGAGAGAGAGATGGAAACATCAATGATGAGAGAGAATCATTGACTGGCTGCCTCCTGCACGCCTCACACTGGGGATCGAGCCTGCAACCTGTGCATGTGCCCCTTGATCAGGAATCGAACCACGACCTTCTGGTTCATAGGTCGATGCTCAATCACTGAGCAACTCGGCTACAGCTGGGCAATGGCAATGGTTTTAACCTATTGTGGGGAGCATTGAAAGCTAGGGCCTCTCTTCACAAAAATACCTGTATCAGGAACACCTACGTGCTACGCAGAATTCCTTCCTTCTCTTCCCTGTGCAGGGGGGCAGACTTTCTTCGCTTCTGCCTGGACTCGGGGTTTCTGAGAACTTGCCTCTCACAGGTTCAGAAGTGAGCGCAGGAAGGGATGCCTTCCTCTGTCCTTGGGGAATCATGGCCGTGGCCCCCAGCCATGATGAGGGTTGAGTTCTGGGATGGTAGCAGCTATGCTAGTTGTCTGGTCCCCCCTGCCAGCCCTCTCCCTTCCCATCCCCCTCCCTTCCTCAGGCCCCTCCCTGGGTCCTGCCTGGCCTTCCCCCTTTCAGCTTTGGGCCTCACTCTGTCTTTCAGCTGGAAGGTCTGGCACATGGAGGACGACACAACAAGACCCAAAGAGTCCGTCTCTCTCGCAGCCGTGGCCGACATGGGGGATGAGCTGGTCTGTCCCCTTCCGCAGTCCCATTTTGGTCTCCTAGTGGGAAGGGCCTTTGTTCACCATCTTCCTTCATTTCCTCCCCACCCCTCACCTCGTTACTTCAACAATACTTCAACAATTAGGATCCCCACGTCCCCCCCCCCCCCCCCCTGTGTGCTGGCCTCCTCAGTGCAGAGCAGCCCCTTATTTCACTTCTTAAACAGTTGTTGTGTGCCCACCGCATGCCAGTAGGGCCTGCCCTAGTCTGAAAGGTCAGGAAGGTCTCAACAAGGAGGAGCCATCGGCTTGTGATTTAAAGGATGAGAAAGAGAAAGCACGTGGGGGTGGGAGTGGCATGGGGGTGAGGGTCCCTGAGGAAGTCTCAGCCTTTGAGGAGCTGGCAGGCTTGTCCTTGCTGTGGAATGGCCAGGTTGGGGCCCACCACCCAGAACTCTGGAGCCTAAAATGACACCCTCTTCCCTCCCTTAGTTCCCTCCCCTTCACCACTTGCACAACCCAGGGTGCACCTTTCACATCGTAATTTGCAAGAGTAACCCCGCCATGTCAGAACCTAACTCCACAGACTGTGAGGTTATTTGTGTCCTGGGGCTGCGTGACCAGGAGGCCCTGCTTGGGACTCCCACCAGCCACAGCTCAGGCACAGCTGAGTGTCCCTCCCTAGCACAGAGCCCAGCACACAGTAGGTGCTCAATGCATGCCCTGCAGAATTTCAGTTGCCCTCTAATTACTTCCTGTGCAAAAGCCCAGCCCCCACCCCAGCCCACTCCTGGTGGCAGCCAGGGCCTCTCCCACTCTGGGCCCCCAGCTGCAGTTCTCACTTGGGGTGGCGGGGACACTGTGGTCACGCTCTGGTGGCTTTAGGAGGAAGGCCAGCCCCTGGGCAGCGACTTGAACCATGCGGAAGACAGGAACAATTTGAACGAAGCCAGCCAGGAGCCGCTCTCAGGAAGGTAGGTGGTCTCCAGGAGGGGACGCAGGCCGGGTAGGAGAGGAGGCCACCACAGGGAGCAGGGGTGGGGAGCAGGGGTGGGAGCATGCTCTCTGCCAGGGTGAAAGGCAACTCCCTGTATCTTTGCTGAAGGAAGGAGAAAACACGATTTAGCAAATGAGTGCGCCAGGCCCGAGGCTCCCAACCTGCTTTGAAGCAGCCAGAGTGAAATCCCATTGGAAACCCCAAACTATGCTGTGGGGCTGCTCATGGTGTAACTTGGATGGGGCCCCCAAACCAGACTGGCCCCCCTCTTAGCCATTCAGTCTCTGGGCACCTTGGGAACCTCGAGGCTTTGTTTGAAAACCCCTGGACTTGGGCAGGCCCCCCTTTTCACATGGGAAGGCTGAAGGAAGGGGATGGGCCCAGGCCACACAGGCAGCAAGTAGGAGCCGAAAACTAGGCCTCCCAATACCTAGGCCCACTGGGGCCCTCACTGGCCAGTCCTGAGTTGAGGAGAACAGGAGGCGGGGGTTCGTTCCATCTGTCTGTCTTGGAGCGAGATTGGGGAAGATGCACTTAGGAGGTGGGACATGGGACAGAGAGAGGGAAGAGAGGGTCCTTAAAACAGCAGCTGATGCCTAATGAGCTCTGAGTGTGCAGCCTGTGGGACCCCACCGGCTATTCAGATTCCAGCCTCTACTGCAGGGCTAGGCCAGTGACCAAATTACCAGGCAAGAACTGGCATTGCACTGGGCCTGGAAGGCAGTGGGGTCACAGCTGGAGCATAAAGAGGGCTGTCCCCACATCTCCGGAAGGACTACTGACTCAGCGAGGAGTGTCCCGGGTCCCAAGGGAGTAAATGCAGAGGTGAGAGCCTCTCCACCTTGCTCCATGGGACAGGAGGGAGGCAGCCGGCATGATTTGTGCACGTTGTTTGGTAGCTGGTTGCTGGTAAGTTCTTCCTGTTGGCAGGCCATTCCCCTCCAGCTCTGCAGGCAGGGTTATCACTCGGGTGGTGCTGAGTAGCCTGAGCCTTTCCTCAGTTTGCTCTGGGCTGGGGTTGCTCTTCCTCACTGTGGGATGTCAAGGCCAGTGCCTGGCTCACCCCAGGTCACCATTTTATTGGAGCAGCTTCTACCTGGAGGTGCTGAGGATCCCCATGGGGACGGGAGTCTGGGGGCCACTTGTGGACCCTCTGGTCTTCTCCCTAGGAGTACCCTGCAGGCCGCCCTGAGAGTGAGGCGCTTCTACAGGGAGCACGCACAACTGTTCCGCTGGATCTGCATAGGCCTGCTCTGCACTGGTGAGCCTGGGCCCAGCCCCACCCACCCCACCCACCCATTTCAGCCATCTCCACCCCAGCCATCCATGTCTCAGGGCAGGGTCGTTCACTTACCCAGTAATTCAACAGAGCTTTGTTGAGCAACGGCTCAGGGCTGAGCATGCCAGAAGCAGGGCCAGCAGAATTAAGGCAGACCAGATGTTGTTCCCAAGGCACTCTGATCAGTTAGGGAGAGGACAACAACTATGTCCACATAGTGCAGCTTGCCATCTGGGAGCACCAAGGAAGGATGGGGGTGATCAGGGAGGACTTCCAGGAGGAGGTGGCATCTGAGTCTCACAGGTTGAGCAGGAGTTGGCCAGGTGGAGGGGAAGGACAACAAGGAGTGAGAGGCACTCCATGCAGAGGAACCCCAGGAGCAAGAGTGAAAAGGGACAGGATGTGAACAGGGAGCTGATCAACAGCCTAGTGTGGCCAGAGGGTAATGTTCTAGACAAGGAGCCAGAGGATGAGGCTGGACAGATGAGAAAGGGCTGATATTGCATCGATGTAAGAACATCCAAACCTGTAGAGAGTTTTTATGATACTTTATTTGAGTCAAACAGAGATATGCCTGCCTGCAAGCAAGATCTCCATGGACTGAGAAAAATACTTCTGAGACTAACAGTTTGCAGTTTCTTTTATGCATTTGAGATTAAGGAGGGAACGAAAGGACGATTACATAAATGTGGGAGGAAGCCAAGTGCAGACTCTCCAATTAGTCTGGTAGCAGAGGGGGTCGAGTAGAGCTTACACTTACAGTGTTTCATCTCACATCTTTTATCCAGTGGAAAGGCTACGCGTATCTTCCCATTCTTCAAGAGCCCTGGCTTTTGAAACTCATAAGCCAGGGAGAGATATTTCCCCTCTATCTACTATCCACTATCTATCTACTATCTACTATCATATTCCTTTCTTTAAAAAAAATATTTTTATTGATTTCAGAGAGAAAGGAAGAGGAAGAGAGAGAGAGAGAGAAACACTAATGATGAGAGAGAATCATTGATCGGCTGCCTCCTGCGCATCCCCTACTGGGGATCGAGCCTGCAACCCGGGCATGTGTCCTGACTGGAAATCAAACTGTGGCCTCCTGGTTCACAGGTCGATGCTCAACCACTGAACCACACTGGCCGGGCTCATATTCCTTTCTGGAGGCATAGCAGACTGGAACAGACTGGTTTAGCTCCTCGAAGGGGAGGAGGGCAAAGGGGGAGAAGGAAATTCCAGGAAGAAAATGTCACCGATTAATACTTCAGAAGGGAATCCTGGCACAAATAAGCGGACGCCTTCCTGGAGTATCTGACTCACTCACTCTGTCCTCATTGGAACCCAATGAGCTTGGAGCATAGCAGGCACTCTTTCGACGCTAGAAGAGGCCACACTGTCTAGCAGTCAATGATGGCGAACCTATGACACGCATGTCAGAGGTGACACGCGAACTCACTTTTTTGGTTGATTTTTCTATGTTAAATGGCATTTAAATATATAAAATAAATATCAAAAATATAAGTGTTTTACTATGGTTGCAAATATCAAAAAATGTCTCTATGTGACACGGCACCAGAGTTAAGTTAGGGTTTTTCAAAATGCTGACACGCCGAGCTCAAAAGGTTTGCCATCACTGGCTCTAGCTTCTTCCGAACACATCTCCTCGCTCACGTTTGGTCAACACTTTGCAGCTTGCAGAGCCCTTATACACCACTCTATCAGTTACCTCAGTAACAACCCTCAGCACAGGAGGGATGATTGTTCGCACTTCCAGGTGAGGAACTGAGGCTCAGAGGGGTTGGGTGAAGTTCCTGCCCTCCAAGTTCTGGATGGGGCAGTTGGAGCCGGAGGGCGGGGCTGCAGGGGCCCGCAGAGACCCATGTCATCACTGACCCTCCTTCTTGTACTTTCCCCTCCCACTGCCAGCGTTCGGGGCCTTCCTGTTGACTGCTTGCATCCTGAATTTCCAGAGGGCCCTGCCCCTGTTTGTCCTCACCTGTGTGGTCCTGGCCTTCTTGGCCTACAGCCTGTTGAAGAAGCGGCTGGGACCAAACCTGCTGAGGTGTGCCACACCTTGGGGGTATTCCCGCCGCAGGAGCCTCTGGTTTAAGAGGTGAGTGAGCTCACAGCCCCCAGGTAGGGCGGGGTGAGAAGGAGCGGGGCACATTGACTGAGGGCCTCTGAGTCAGCTCTGGGGGCACAGCCAGGGCTGGGTGAGCAGGGCCTCGGGCCATCCCACCAGCCAGTTCCTGTGCTATGGGGAGAGTAATCCACCCTGCTTGCCTTTTGGAAGTTTCCTAAAGTAAGAGATCCCAGCTCATTCGGGCAGGGAGGGCCTATCAGATCATCAGGGACATGTGTGAGACATCTAGCTGCAGGGTGACCACCCTGGAGTCTGAATCAGCAGGCTGGGCTAGGGTCCAGGTGTCATTACTTTTAGGTAGCCCCAGGGGATTTTGTTGTTGTTAATAATCCTCACCCAAGGATATTTTTTCCATTGATTTTCAGAAACTGGAAGGGGGGAAAAGAGGGAGAGAGGGCAAAGGAAAGGGAGAGAGAAAGAGAAAGAAACATCGATGTGAGAGAGACATACACCCCGACTGGGACCAGGGATCAAACCTGCAACCCATGTAGGTGCCCTTGACTATGAATCGAACCTGAGACCCTTCAGTCTATGGGCCGATGCTCTAACTCATGAGCCACATCGGCCAGGGCAACAGAGAATTTTTTTAAAGTATATTTTTATTGATTTCAGAGAGGAAGGAAGAGGGAGAGAGAAATAAAAACATCAATGATGAGAGAGAATCATTGACCACCTGCCTCCTGCATGCCCCATATTGGGGGTTGGGCCTGCAATCCGGGCATGTGCCCTAACTGGGAATCAAACCCTGACCTCCTGGGTCATAGGTCAGCACTCAACCACTGGCTGTGCCGGCCGGGCCTAACAACACGTACAGAGTGTATAATGGTGGGATGTGATCTCACTGTATTTAGTATTTAGTCCCCTCCCAACCTTGAGAAATGGGGAGCCTTTGGCCTCCTTTTCCCAGTGAGTAAATTAGACTCAGAGAGGTTAGGTGGTTTTCCTGAAGTCACACAGCTCTCTCCTCCCACCAGACCTGAGTGTGCTTTTCCTGGAGCCCAGGTGGTCTCCTGTGTGGGGTTGGGGAAGATGCTGAGGGTGATGTCTTTCTGCCTTTCCCCTGCAGGGGTCTAGCCCTCGCTGCTTTCCTGGGCCTGGTCCTGTGGCTGGCTCTGGACACCTCCCAGCGGCCTGAGCAGCTGGTGTCCTTTGCAGGAGTCTGCGTGTTCATTGGCATCCTCTTTGCCTGCTCAAAGCATCACCGCGCAGTGAGTGCTTAGTTGTCAGGCTTGTCTCCCACTGCCTCCTTGGCAATGCAACCACCCCAATATCAGGACCCCTCCTGGTTTCACAGTGTGGCTAACACCTCACCTCCTCCCCACTCCCCCCTCTCTCACCCCCGGCTCCAGCCAGGCCCCCCAGAGATCCTGATGCACTCCTGAGTTTGGGGATCACCACTAAGGAATCATTAAATGCTGAGAGGCATCCTGCTCCCTGCTGCTGGAGTGAGAACATTGACAGAGGGAGATTAGGGCAACGGGGTCCCTGCCTATGGAGGAGGAATGGGGGGAGGGTCCAGGCAGACAAAGGTTACACTGAGGCCCGACCCTGAGGCTACAATTCCGCCCACCCAGTGATGACCCGGGACCAAGTGCCATGGCATGCCCAAAGCTGGTGAAGGCTTACATGGGTCCTCGGTTAGACCTGCCCACTCCTGCCTGTTGCCCCAGTCTCACTGCCGCCAAGGGTGTGGCCTATTATGAACTCCAGGAAGGATGTGACCACTGGCAATAGGTCCAACCCCTGGCTGGGTCCAGCCCTATCCTGAGCGCCCGTAGCCCCTCAGAGCAGCCCCCTGGCCTCTGCTCTCACCCCACCCTGTCCCCGGTGGGTGCCCCCGGGGAGCTGAGCTCACCAGGACCTTTCTGTATCGCCGGCAGGTGTCTTGGCGCACTGTGTCCTGGGGTCTTGGGCTACAGTTTATACTTGGCCTCTTTGTCATCAGAACAGAACCTGGATTTATTGCATTCAAGTGGCTGGGCGACCAGATCCAGGTGTGTACGTGGAGCCCGGCTTCCCAGGGCATCTTGGGTTGCCAGGGAATGAGACACCATTCTGTTGGGAGACAGTGGGAGGTGAGGCCTCAGAGAGGGATTGGGACCAAGATGGTTGGTGTGTAGTGGGCCCCAGACCAAGTGGGTAGCTGGGGGCTAGGCTGTGCAGCTGGTACTTCCCTCAGTCCTGGTGCCCCCGGACAGAGCAGTCCCCTCAGAGCATGCCTCAGAGAGAGGCATGCGGTCCTTGGCAGCCATCAGTGATGTGGAATGTGTATTGGGAGTGCTTAGAAAATTGCAAACTATTTACTTTGTGTATGTGTGTGTTTAAAGACAATGTTTAGTCTATTGAAGTTATACTTTCTAAATTTCATTTTTTATTCTAGTAAATACACGTAACAGTTACCAATTTAGCCATTTTTATTTTTTAAATATATTTTTATTTATTTCAGAGATTAAGGAAGAGGGAAAGAGAGATTGAAACATCAATGATGAGAGAGAATCATTGATCGGCTGCCTCCTGCACACCCCCTACTAGGGATTGAGCCCGCAACCCGGGCATGTGCCTTGACGGGAATCGAACCCGGGACCCTCCAGTCTGCAGGCTGATGCTCTATCCACTGAGACAAACTGGCTAGGGCCCATTTTAACCATTTTTAAATGTCATTGAGTTTATTCACATTGTTGTGCAACCATCATGACTTACTTTGTAAAATATGAATTACGGAAGACAAAAGGTTAATCCAGTACTCAGCCCTGGACAGGAGAAGTGACTTGTCCCTGCAGCCACAATGCAAGTTCCGGACCTAAATAAGGTCTTCTGTGGAAGTGTGGCCAGATTCAAACACCAAAGCCAAGAGCCTGGGGCAGGGACAGATGGGGGCTGTGCCCTTGGTCAGGAGGGAGGGGGTAGCAGGCCGGCAGGTGAGGCAGCCCTTGACAGCCGCCTCACCTATCACTGTTTGGCTCCCTTTGTTGTTTATTTATTCTCTAAATAACTCTCATCTCAGAGCATTTCTTTAAACTTTATTGAAAGGATGTATCTTCTGGAGAGAGTGGCCATCAATGGGGCTTTAATGACGCACACTGCCACGTGGTGTCCAGCCCCTACAAGGCCAAGGCCTGGGGGCCTCGTCCTGGGACCAACCTGCCACTGTTTCCTCCCTCCCTCCCTCCTCCCTCCCTCCCTCCCCTCCCTCCCTCCCTCCCTCCCTCCCCCATGGGCTCACTCTGGATTTCATTTTGTTTTGTTTTCTCCTTTCAGACCTTCCTGAGCTACACCAAGGCCGGCTCCAAATTCGTGTTTGGGGAAGCTCTGATCAAGGATGTCTTTGCCTTTCAGGTCAGCTGACTGTTGGCCCACAGGCCTTTAGCAGCCTCTTCCAGGCACCTCCAGCTAGTGGGGAGCCCGAGCCAGCTGTTTGGCCCAGGCCTGGGCCGGGGGGTTCTAGAAGCAGCTGTATGGGCGGGGGTTCTGGGCGGGGGTTGCTGGGAGGGGCCCTGGCAGGAGGATGGCTTGGCTTAGCGGTTTGCTTTTAGTTCTGTTAGCTGCATCCTTGCTCTTTTCTCCCTTTCTGGAAGAATGTGCACAGACCTGCAACTTGCATCTCTCCCCTAAGCACCCTTCAGAACCATGAATTCATAGCCCATCAGGCTACGAGGATGCTCAGCGATCTTGGGCCTCCCTTTATACTACAGGGGGTCACCCCAGAGGAGCAGTGACCTGGCCACAGTGGCCCAGCAAGTTAGGGCAGAGCCAGGCCAAGGGCTGGAGGTTTAGGGAGAATATGCAGGGGGTGATTCGGGTGGTACATGCCCACCAGGTACCATTTGGGGTCACCAGGTACCAGGGGGTCCTGGACCCTGGTCTCTCCGGAAGTCGGAGTGTCTGGTTACAATTTTCTGCATAGGGGGAATCGGGGAGGGAGTAATTGGCAGGTGCGATATACAGCCCAGCTCTAGGAACGTAGCCATCCTCTGTAGTCCCAGAACGTAGTCAGTGACGTCATACCTCCCTTCCAAAGAGCATGCCTAATCGCAGTAGAAATACATTTAAATCGTATTCATGGTTGCTAAACATTTTGAGATTGGATGTTGTGTTAAGAGAGAAAAACCAAGGAAGGGAGGGAGGTTTATCATTAACCAGCCTCAGCATTTTCCTGTCAAACAATAACTGTTTCCTGGCCGCTGTGAGGCCCTATCCTTTGGACAGACTGTCAGTGGATTAGCCAGGGCTTTCTGAGCAAAGATGGGTCAGGCGAGGGAGGACTTCAGACAAATGCCCCTTGGCCACAGAACTCCCTCTCTCACAAGATTCACGAGGCACAAATTTCCCTCCTCCCTGCATTATGCACACACACACATAAACATATACATGCACACATGCATACATGCACATGAACACACACACATGAACACCCACACTTGCCAGGCTTGGGACTTATCCTCAGTGTAGGAGTGGCTTTGTTGCTGAGTCGAATAGAAGACTCAGAAGCTTTCTTTTGGTTCTTTCCATGAATCATGTGGACCTGGTCGAAGGTCCTTGGCCCATGTCAGCCTGGGGAAGTCTTCTCTGGGCTCCCTCAGATTTTTAGAATCCAAGCTGCTTCCAGCTGGGCCACAGTCCAGCTCGTCACTCCTCCAGGAAGTGGAGCCCCTGCGGGAGGGTCCTTCAGTCCCCACCGCCCCTGGCCTGGAGTCCAGCACAGTGGAGGTGGCAGCCTGGCTGGATCATTTTGATTAGTCATTCCACCTTGGCTCTATTTCCCTTCTGGTAACTTTCCACCCACATGATGGCCTCCCCTCAGGGTCCCGCATCCTTCCTGGGTCTGGCTGAGCTGGAGCACATGTCTGCTCATCCCTTCACTAACACTCCGGCCTCTGGAACGTGCACCGCTTGCTAAGCTCAGCAGTGCTGCTTACAAGGTCTTTCTGAGAAAGCCCTAGGGAAGTGGTTCTCAATCTTCCTAATGCCGTGACCCTTTCATAGAGTTCCTCATGTTGTGGTGACCCCCCAATTTCATTGTTACAAATTGAACTATTGTCTAGTATGGAACGGACTGAAGGGGTTGGAGGACGACAAAGCCCCTCCCTTCGGTGGGTCCAGAGGGAAGACAATTGGCCTCGGGGGAGGCAGGGGCTCTGGGTCAAGAGCTGGTGGTGTGGCCTGGGCCTGAGGCCGGGGCTCACCCAGATCCGTGCTGGGAGAGCATGGGGAGGGAGCAGCCGGCTAATGGGTTCTTCCTGCTCTCCCTGAAGGACCGGGGGAGCCTTTCCCTTCTGGGGCCCAACCAAAAGAATTGTCTGTCTCTGTCCCGATTTTCCCCTCGGGAGGCATGCCCTCATCTACCAGGGTTTCTTGGACAATACGTCAACCCAAACCTGAATATAAGGAATTTGATCAGGATGCCCTGGGCGGCCGTATATGATATGATGGACCCGGTAGGCAGTGGTCAGATCGAAAGACCCTGCATCCGGCCACCCCACCTGGAAAGTGGGCCACTCCCGTTCACAGAATCGCTGTAAATCAAAAGCATTAACATCATAATCGTAGTCTCCGGCTCTCTTCTTGAAGTCCTGAAAATGCTTAAGAAAACATTGCAGCGGGGAGCACACAGAAGCAGACAACGACTGTCCCATTTTGACAACAAACACCAGACAACAAACACCAGACAGACAAGTCCTGTGCAACCGAAAGTCACACTTGCCAGATGCCGTGGCCACCGTCATGGCCACCGGCTGGAGTCAGGAGGTAGTGCTGCGTCCAGCCCTCCCCTTGACTCCCCTGTGAGATCTCACCCAGGCGCCTCCTGTCCTTACCTCCTGCAGGATTTTTCAGTAAGTCCTCGCCGCTTGCCCGGTGATGGATGGGAGAGAGCCTCCTGCCCTAGATAAGGGGTCCCTCTCACCCCTGCCGCTGGGTGAGAACCTCCTGCCCTAAATAGGGGGTCCCTCTCACCCCTGCCGGGTATCTCACTGCGGCCTCCAAATGTTGTGGACCAACATTTGTGAGAATAAGACCACCGACTCCAATTAGGTCTTAAACAGCAAGCGAGGATTTATTGAGCTGGCCAGCGTCTGCCACAGGCCCCTCCTGTAACAGCCCCGAGCTTTGTGCTCGGCGAGCTTTTATTCACAGAAACCACAAACGTCCTTGATTTACAGTTACAAGTGTCTAATCAGGACCTTGACATGCAGATGTCTGGGAGTGGGAGACTTGGAATTATGCCTGGTTACCTATCCTTGACCCCCATCCTTGTTAAAATTTTTTACTGACATTCAATTCATCACAGAACATAATTAAAGCATAGTGATTAATCACAAAAACAATATGTAATTATAGATGTGTTTTCCGATGGTCTTAGGCGACTCCTGTGAAAGGGTCATTTGAGAACCGCTGCCCTAGGGAGAAGGAAATGTTCTCACCTCCCAGGGGTTTCAGGTGTCTGCCTGATGCAGCCTCTGCAATCCCCAATGGTCAGCAGTGCCACATTTTGGGGAAAAAAAAATAGTAAGTAAGACAAGGACAAAAAATACCCCAAATAAAATAAGGACTGAAAGGTACCATTGGATTGCCCGACTGCTGTGGCTCAGTGGTTGAGCATCGACCTAGGAACCAAGAAGTCATGGTTCAATTCCCTGTCAGGGCAGGTGCCAGGTTGTGGGGGTCTATCCCCAGTAGAGGGCATGCAGGAGGCAGCTGATTGATGCTGTTTCTCTCTCGTCAATGTTTCTATCTCTCTATGCCTCTTCCTTCCCCCCACCCCCCCACCTCTCTAAAATAAATTTTTAAAAGCATATTTTTAAAAAAGTACCATTGGATTTAGTAATGACCATGTTCAGGGGAGGGGCTGGGAAATAACTGGAGACCAACTTGGGATGCAAAGGAGGGAGTTGGGACCTCTGAACCAGGAGAACTCTGAGAGAGTGTGGCATCTGCAGAGGCCTCCGAAGGAGACTCCAACAGGCAGGGGCAGGGTAAGGAGTGGGTGTGAGGTCGGCAGAAAGTCAGGAGGCATGTCCAGTTTATCTGCTTTTCTGTCAGTTGCTGGGGTTGCAGCAATCAGCCTGAGGCATCTTCTCACTTTGGGTCATTGTGGTTCCTCGCTGCCTGGGGCTGCAGTGCTTGGGCTTGGGGGCTGGGGGTGTAAAGTTTGCTCAGCTCCCTCCAGGAAGAGGAAGCAGCAGGGCTCTGTCCAAATGGGTTCAGTCCTGTCTTTGGAATCTGTTTCCCGGTGAGGACATGACATCTGCTCAGAGGTGTGGCTCTCAGAGGGCGGTGTCCAGATCAACAGCCCCAGCAGTGTCTGGAGAGGCCCACTTTGGACAGGTGGCGGGGGCGTGTTCCTCAGAAATTGCATTTCTAATGAATTCTCAGGTGGTGCTGCTGGTCCGGGGACCACATTTTGAGAACCATTTGCTGAGAAGAGCTAGAAGTACTTCTCCCTTGAGTTATGGGTGAACATTGGTACTGGCAGGCACAGCCTGCTCTGAGTTTCCACAAAGCAGTGGTCAGGACTTACTGGGGCAGCTACACCCTGGGCTCAGGCTACCCTTGGAGGAGATGGGTGCTGCCCCCGAAACAGGGAAACGAGGCCCCAGGGCTCGCACAGACTAGAGCTCCTCAGGGTCACGCAGGGTCTGGGCAAGCTGCTTGGTGGGCAGGGGGTACTCTGTCTCTTGGCAGGTGTGTGACCTTGGGCAGGTAACCAGCATCTCACAGTCTCAGTGTCCCACTGGTGGAGTGAGGTTTCCTGGCTGGGAGGTCCTATTGGCCTCAGGGACCTTGTTTAGTATTAAATGTCCCACCTTAGAAAGATCAGGCCCATCTCTCTTCTCTCCCATGCATCTTCCCTCCCTAGACAGTCACCATTTAATCCAAAAGACAGCCTCCCTTCCACCATCGATCCCCATCTCTCAGAGAGAAATGTCTCTGATTGCTGCCCCGAGAAAGCCATTCTGCAGTTGGGTCCAGCGCCCTGGGCACTCTCCTTCCTGGCTCCAGCCTTCTCCGCAGCCCTGCCAACCTGCAGAGCAGTCGCCTCGCATGCTAAATTGGACAAGCTGTCTAGACAGTACGTGCTCCTCCGTGCGTTTTACTCCAAGGGTACAGCAGAGTGATGTCAGCACCCCTCGTGCTGAGGGTGTGTCCAGCACCAGGCAGTCACAGGGAGTCACGGGGCAGGAAAGGGTTTATCCAGACAGTGCCCGTGTTCCCTGTCAGGCGACATCCCCCACGGCAGTGACACCGGTGACAGATGCCAAGTGGAGCAGGTCCAGATAAATCCCACAGCCTCCTTGGGAAGGGAAGGGAAGAGAAGGGAAGGAAAACCCCTCATCTTGTCTGGTCTCCAGGGGAGCTGCCCGGGGCAGTCTCTGTTCTCACAGGGCCATTCTGTCATCCCCGTGCATTTTGAACCAGAGCCTGATTCTGATTGCTCAAGATTCTCTCTTCTTAAAAACAACAACAACCCTTCCTCCACCCCTCTCTGCTCCAGCCCCTCTTCCTTTCCACATAGCAGCTTCTCCTCAGAGCTTTTACCCTTGCTGTTTCTTTCTCCTCCTCCTCCTCCTCCTCCTCCTCCTCCCCCTCCTCCTCCTCCTCTTCCTCCTTCTCCTTCTCCTTGCTGTTTCTTTCTCCTCCTCCTCCTCCTCCCCCTCCTCCTCCCCTCCTCCTCCTCCTCCCCCTTCCTCCTCCTCCTTCTCCTTGCTGTTTCTTTCTTCTTCTTCTTCTTCTCCTGTTTCTTTCTCCTCCTCCTCCTCCCTCTCCCTCTCCTTCTCCTTCTCCTTGCTGTTTCTTTCTTCTTCTTCTCCTCCTCCTCCTCCTCTTCCTCTTTTTTAAATCCTCACCCGAGGATATTTTTCCATTGATTTTCAGAGAGAATGGAAGAGAGAGAGAAAGACAGAGAAGTATCGATGTGAGAGAAACACATCAAATGGGCCAGGGAGGTGCCTGCAACTGAGGTACGTGCCCTTGACCGGAATCGAACCTGGGACCTTTCAGTCCACAGGCTGATGCTCTATCCACTGAGCCAGACCGGTTTCGGCTGGGTGAACTGCTTTTAATGTTTTCAATGGTTGTGATATTCCAGCTCTCCCACTTGCCATTTTAGCATAAGAATGCTCCCATGTTGTTACCAACTCTGCCCGACTTACTATTTTAAACCTGTTTGGAACAGATCACACATTCCAACAGAACAAAAGGGGATATAGTAAAAAGTGGGTCTCCCTCCCACCCCCCAACACCCCCCACCCGCCCCCAAGTCACCCGTTCCCTCTGCAAGGCAGCTGCCATCCCAGGCACTTGCAGATCCTTCTAGTGATATTGCGTGCCCACACAGGAGCGCACACAATGCCACCCACCCTTGTCTACACATAGAACAGCACCCTGTTCTCCACCTTCCCTTTTTATTTAACGACTCTCTTGGAAATGATTGCAGAGAGAGCTGCCTCGTTCTCGCTTCCCAGCCTTAGTGCTCCACTGTGTGGCTGTACATCAGGTTATTAAACTCCCCCTCCCCCGAGACACATGTGCGTTATTGCCTGTCCTGGTGACTAGAAATCAGCCTGCAGTGAGGCAGCCCTGGGGTGGGGCCCTGGGGTGGGGCCCTGGCCAGGAGACGGGGTGATGGTTGGGAAAGAAATTTTGAAGGAAGAATTGGTGAGGCTCAGAGTGAGAAAAGAGAAGTGACAAGCTTGGGAATAGGGAACGAGGTGACAGGAGGAAACGCTGGTTGCAGGTCCATGAGGAGTCTCATTCTGAGCCAGATAAGGGGCTCCTAACTCGGGCCCAAAGCACAGGAGGGAGGTTGAAGCCAGAGTCATGGGCCAGGGAGTGAGCTCACAGCCAAGGACAGACACTGTGCAAAGAGAGAGAAAGAACACTAGCCGTTTCGGCTCAGCAGATAGAACGTCGCCCTGAAGACCGAAGGGCCCTTGGTGTGATTCCGGACAAGGGCATGGACCTCAGTTCCAGGCTCCTCCCCAGCCCATGCCCTGGTCAGGGCTCGTGCAGGAGGCAACCAATCAATGTGTTTCTCTCACATCTGTATTTCTCTCTGCCTTTCCCTCTCTCTTCCACTCTCTCTGAAAATCAATGGAAAAAATATCCTCAGGTGAGGATTTAAAAAAAAAAAAGCGCTAGAGAAAGACATCTTATGCTCGTTTTACAGGCCATAAAAAGTGGTGGACTCTTTCCTGCCTCTCTACCACAACTCAGGCCTCGTCTGTGGTGAGGGGAGGAGGAGGGATGGCTGGGCAGATGGTCAATATTTGGAGGGGACAGACGTGTCTCTGGAGAGGCCACATATGTAATCCCACGCACTGAATGCAGAGCTGCTTCCCTGACGCTGTCAGGCCTCTGAGAGGCAAGGCCTTGGGTGGAGAGGCTGCCTGGTAGGTATCCCTGAGGCCCTGCCTGGTCCCAGCCACCCACCTGCCCCTCACCCGGGGCCTCCGCTCTTCCTGCAGGTTCTGCCCATCATTGTCTTCTTCAGCTGTGTCATGTCCATTCTCTACTACCTGGGCCTCATGCAGTGGCTGATCCTGAAGGTGAGTCCCAACACCGTGGCCTGGGCTCTCCCAGAGACACCTGCTCCGGGGGTTCACACTCTCCCAGAATGCCTTGCTCCCATGGCTCAAACCCTCCCCCAACCCCCTAGCCTTTCTCAAATCTACTGCTAACCAAATATCTTTTCACAGAGTCTGTTGTCATGATACTAGGCAGACATGGCACCACAATCCAGGGTAATCTTTGTGGGAGGGAAGTTTGTAGAATTGAGGGTGCGTTGAGAAGAAATGTTAGAGGGGGAAAAATAATTCATACCAAAAAATCTTGTGAGACCGGAGCAGGGGCTACATTGGCCAGACTTAGCTGGTGTAAATGCCAAATCCTGTGCTTATGTTCATAATATCTGCTGCACAAAATCAGGATGCAGGAGACAGCATTGCACCAGGCCAAAGATTATGAGTTTTTAGCTGATTGAGCTCAGAATAAACCAATACCGTCAGGTGGCTGCCGGGAATGCAGAAACCGCCTGCGGTTATGTTAAGAGTGTGGCACGAGGGAGGCAAAGACGCCTCCGTTTGGAGAATGTGTTTAGCCAAGGGGCTATGACAAACTGAACATCAGAGAGAGTGCAGGGCCGAACCTACGCTCCACGGACTGGCTGGAGGAGGTAGGGATGACGGGCCTGGGAAAGAGAAGGCCCGGGTGGAGGAGGCTGAGGGTAGGATAGCTGTCTCCAAACATGGAGGGAAGGGGCAGTTTGGGAGGTACCAGCAGTGAGGAGAAATTCCAGAGAAGCAGATTTCATCTTGATTGAAAGGAAGAACTTTCTAATATAGCGTTTCCAAAGCCTTATTCACGAAACTCTGGTTCCATAGCAGCTTAATAAATGCTTCTAGGTAAAGGGATCCCACAGTAAAATGGTTTTGTGGTTTTTGGGGTTTTTTTTTTTTTTGATGCTAACAAATTTAAACAAGTCTTGTGCGGGACTTGTCAGAGCCTTTACTGAGCTAATATGTAGTAATCTCCAAGGTGTGTGTGTGTGTGTGTGTGTGTGTGTGTGTGTGTGTGTGTACAGTAATTCTCAAATATATTTGACCAAGGAATCCTTTTTTCATGGATGGTAAGTCCCCATCAATGGAGGTTTGGAAGGGGAAGATGAATGGACCTTTTGGAGGAAATGTAGGGGGGGGGGGGCTCCTGCGTGGGTTGGGAGTTGGAAGGAAGCCTCGTAAGGTAACTCCCGACTCTCTCTGCCTCTGGGACTTGCTGATGCCAGCCCTGCTTGCTCCTAGATTGCCTGGCTGATGCAGGTCACCATGCGCACCACCGCCCCTGAGACCCTGAGTGTGGCTGGAAACATCTTTGTGAGCCAGGTGGGTCCTGCACCTCCTGCTGTCATGCCTGTCAGCAGCCTCCCATGGAGACCAGCTGTTCTGGGTCCCTGGAGCTCTGATTTAGTCAGTAGAAGAGCCATTGAACCTTCTCCCGGGGTCACCAAAGACGGCTGCCTCAGGGATGCACATCTGGGTCATGCCAGGGAGGATGCTATCTGGCACCTCCTACTCCTCTGGGCCTAGGCTGCCTTCATCAGCTTAGAGACGCACAAATCCTAGAGATGGAATCTAGCTTTCCCCTTTTGTACACGAGGAAACCGAGGCTCAAGGGTAGGAATGACTGGCTAAGAGCCAACAAGATAAGCCAGGACTTAGAATCCCATTGTTTTAGTTCCTGACCAGGGTTCTTTCTACTACATCCTTTTGTCTTTCTTTTCCCTTCCTCTTTCTGAAAATGTATTTTTCATAGTAAGTGTGACTCTGAAGGCATGGTTAGTCCTGAGTCCCTCCCTTTCAGAAGGCCTGACCCTCCTGAGGGCGAGTCTCTGCAGACCATTCCAAGATCCAGGCCCATCTGTCACCAAAAGGCATACTTGCCTTTCTTTCTGGCAACCCCCAGGCTTCACTGAAAGCTCAGCCTGGCCGGCATGATTCAGTGGTTTAAGCATCAACCTATGAACCAGGAGGTCACATTTCAATTCCCAGTCAGGGCGCATGCCCAGTTTGTGGACTCGATCCCAAGTGTGGGATGTGCAGGAGGCAGCCAATCAATGATTCTCTCTCATCATTGATGTTTCTCTCTCTCTCTCTCTCTCTCTCTCTCTCTCTCTCTCTCTCTCTCTCTCCCTCTCTCTCTCCCTCTCCCCCTCCCTCTCCCTTTCTCTCTGAAATCAATAAAAATCCTATATAATAAAAGGGTAATATGCAAATTGACCCTATCAGCAGAACAACCAAAACAACTGCTGGACCAGTCACTCTGGGGCGCACTGACCACCTCTTGGTCCCTTTCCCCAGCCAGCAGGCTCCAATCGCATGCTGGCCACCTGTGGCAGGGGCGGGGCTGGCGAGTGGGTGGGAAAAGCTGACCTCTTGGTCCCTTCCTCCAGCCGTCAGGCATCGATCACCTGATGGTGAATAGGGAACCGGGGTGGGGGGTGGGGGTGGCAGCGGGGGGCGGGACCAGCTGCGGGCAGCTGGGGAAGATGGCCCTGATCGCAGGTCAGGCCTAGGGACTGTACCCGTACATGAATTTCATGCACCGGGCCTCTAGTATATTTTAAAAAAACAAAAAGTTTAGACCCAAGTTACATCTGCTCCTGGCCCTTTGCATGAAAAGAGGTCATTCTTTGAACCTCTCTTATCCTCTATTTGCTCTCCTGAAAAAAGGGCATGATGTCTTCCTCCTCAGAAGGTTGTGAGTAATAACTGTGAGGTGCTTGGACGTGGTAGGAGCTCAACACAGGAGCATTATCAGGCCAAGTGGCAGGGCTGGGGGTCCTTGTACAGAGCAGGCTACAACGGATGTTCAGAGCGATTCAGTCAAGTACAGACCACAGTCTTCACCCCACCTGCTGTCTCTTCCCCTGGGACCCCCAGCACTCACTGGGAGCTGCCCACTCCAGTGGGGAGGGAACTCCCCAGGTTCCTGTGCTGGCCCGGCCAGTTCCGTTTGTCTGATACCTTTCCTGCTTGCAGACCGAAGCTCCTCTGCTGATCCGGCCCTACTTGGAGGACATGACGCTCTCTGAAGTCCACGTTGTCATGACCGGAGGCTATGCCACCATTGCCGGCTCCCTGCTGGGTGCCTACATCTCCTTTGGGGTATGAACACACTCCTGAAAGGGAGTGTAATTTGCTGTCAGTTTTAAAATACTTTCCCTTGATCCAGTTAGAAATATCGGGATACAGAAATATTTTCACAAGTGGTCAAATATGCAAAATTCTATTATTATTTGCAATAGAAGAACAAAACAAAACAAGAAACAACCTAAATGTCAAGCAGTGAGGGGATGAGTTGGGTGAATTTATCCATACAATGCCATGCCACAAGCCCCTAGAGCAGCGGTTCTCAACCTGTGGGTCGCGACCCCTTTGGCGGTCGAACAACCCTTTCACAGGGGTCTCCTAAGACCATCCTGCATATCAGATATTTACATTACAATTCATAACAGTAGCAACATTACAGTTATGAAGTAGCAACGAAAATAATTTTATGGTTGGGTCACAACATGAGGAACTGTATTTAAAGGGCCAGAAGGCTGAGAACCACTGCCCTAGAGTGAGGTGGGCTGTGGTCTGCCTTTCACTGTCCCTGATGCTGTGTATGTATGCGTTGAGGGATGACAGAATGACCCCCACTGTCCTCTCCTCTGGTCCCAAATTCCACCTCTCATCTCTGTCCTTGGGGGTGGCCAAGGGACAAGCCAGACTGCCCCTCAGCACTTTCTCCCTCAGGGCACTGGGCTGCACCAGTCAGCTCAGCTCCACACCCCACAGAGCTGCCTGGGCAGAGAGGTGGCTCTGTGACCTCAAGAAGTTTGCTTGTCTTTGTCTTCCGGCCTGGCACCCTTCCATCTAGAATTTTCGAGGTCACCTGCTTCACACTGAGGCTTAGGGAAGGTCCATCAGAGCTGGTGCACCCCCCACCCACTCCACCTCCAATTGATTTAGGAAGGTGTTTGATATTTCAAAACTGGAAACTCGAAACTGTTCCCGAAGCTTTTTTTCATGGTGGCATATTAGGGGCGGGAATGCCATAATATTTTCAGGACTCATAATATTTTCAGGACTTAGGGCCTTTGACTGTCTTAACCTGGTTCTAGGTCTCGCAGCCAGTTAAAAGAATGGTCTTCTTTCTGCTGCATCCATGTGGCTGCCCTTACTTCAGGCTAAAATCCTGGAAGAACTCTGTCCCTTTTCCACCTGCCTTACAACTCATCCTGCTCTCCTTCCCCTTCTCGGGCAGGAGTCCAGGGCGGCCCCAGGCAGCAGGGGCCTGGGTGCCCACTTGCCTGTAGCTCTACAGAATGTGCAGAGGCTGCCAGGACCAGCCAGATGACCAGGGCCTCCATTCACAGCCTATATCTGGCAGCCTCCAGGCTACCGCCCAGCTGGCCCAGGTGAAAAGCACCTACTAGAGAAGTCTGGTATCAGAGAAGCTCTCTTCTGCCCCCACCTGGCTCTTGGCCGCCACTGCAGCAGCCTCGGACCTTCTCCCACAGCCCTGCCTTCTTCCCACCCTCTCCCCTCTGCTTTCACTCCCTCCTCCAGGCACTTCCTCACTGTATCCTTGCTCTGCCCTCAGCCTCTGACTTACTGGAAGACCCCTCTTGTTCTCTCCTCCTTTCTCATTGTTGCTCAGCTTCTGGGTCCCTCTGCCCTGCACCTTCCTATTGCTAATATCTGGACATTTCTAGACCCGCATTGTCCAACCCAGGAGCCATGAAGCCACACATGGCTGGCTATGGAGCACTTGAAGTGGGGCCGGTCTGAAATGAGATCTGCCCTGAGACTTAGTATGGAAAAAGTCCATATGTCGTATTAATAAGTTCAATATTGATGACATGGGTGGAGAGATAATATTTGGGATAGAGTGGGTTAACTAAAATGTATTATTAAAATTAATTTTACCTGTTTCTTTTTAATTGGCTACTAGAAACTTTAAAGTCAAAGATGTGGTTCTCATTGTATTTGCCTTGGACAGTGCTGATCTAGACCTTCTCTCTGGTCTGGGACCCGAGGGTTACTTGACTGAATTCTTTCATGGTGGCCTGCACATGGTACATCTCCCTCTTCACCATACTTTCCAAAACTCTAAAGCAGGCACCCACTCTCTTCACTAATCCTGGGAACTGGTCTCTCTTCCCACCCCTCTGGTTCAGGAGCCACCGCGAGAGGAGATTAAGATGTGTGCCAGGAGCTGTGGACACGGCCGGGCAGGGTGACACTGAGGAGCGGGCAGTGCCACTGATGCTCCCTAGTCAGTTGTGCAAGAGTTGGGCACATGTCAGCGGGGTCTGGAGTGAGGCCAAGTGAACATCCACTACTTAGTTTTAACACCTGTAAAATGGGCGAGATTACTGCCCATCGCACAGCAGCTTAAGAATTAAATGCGATATCATGCAATTAGCATGATATTGAAGACATGGTAGTTACTTCTCTGACATAGTAGGGTCAGAAATACCTCCTCCTGAAACAGGGCAGCGTCATGCTCTGTAGTTGTCTGGATGTATTTTCTTTCTCAGTAAAGATCTTTCTTAAAAAATATATTTTTATTGATTCCAGAGTGGAAGGGAGAGGGAGGGAGTGATAAAAACATCAATGATGAGAGAGAACCATTGATTGGCTGCCTCCTGCACGCCCCCTACTGGGGATCAAGCCTGCAACCCAGGCATGTGTCCTTGGCCGGAATCGAACCCGGGACCCTTCAATCCCCTGGCCGACACTCTAGCCACTGAGCCAGGGCCTCAGTAAAGATCTTTTTGAAAATTCAAATGGAGAGCTCATGCCCTGTATCCCTCTCTGACCTGGGCCTTGGGGGTTGGAACAGAAGGCATTCCTGCCCGGGTATCTGGGATGTCATGGCCCTGAGAAGCAGCTGGCCTAGCGGGGGCCGGGGGGGGGGGGGGGAGCGTGTATGGGCTGGCCCAGTGGCCCAGAGAGCCCAGCCTGGGCAGGACTCACCCCTTTTCAAGATGAGCAGTACATGTCCAGCTGGGGCCTTTGAGGCTGTGGCCACGACTGCCTTACAGCATTGCGGCTTAAATTTACCTCCCTTCCTTCTTGTCCTTTTTATTTAAAATTTAAGAACTGCAGCCCTAGCCGGTTTGGCTCAGCAGATAGAGCATCGCCTGCTGACTTAAGGGTCCCCAGTTCGATTCCGGTCAAGGGCATGTACCTCGGTTCCAGGCTCTGGTGTTAGGCAACCAATTGATGTGTCTCTTTCACATCGATATTTCCCTCTCTCTCTGTCTCTCCCCCTTCCTTCCACTCTCTAAAAAAAAATAATAAAATAAAATTTAAGGACTGCAGTTGACTTATTATAAAATTTAAAAAGAAGTCTATTTTACTTTTCTGTTTATAAACGCAATATATATCCTTGTGAAATTTTCAAAACACACAAAAAAGCAGAAAGAAAAGAAAATCACCCTTGGCTTTCCAGGGGCAGCGAAAACTGGTTGGCACTGTGGTGTCTTTCTTTCTGGTCTTATAGCTCCAGAGCCTGCTTTCCCGCATCATTGAGGTTATGCTCTATATGCAATTTTGTGGTCATTTCCCCTGTGATTGTGAAGCTTTGGTAACCATTGTTTTCTATGGCAGCTTGACAATGCTTAGCCACTCCCCATTGTTATGTGTTTGGCTTGGCTCTAATTTCCCCATTTGGTAAATAACACAGTGGAAGAGAACAGGGAAGCAGAGGGGTTGGGGCCACCACAAGGATAGAAATCCAGGAAGGGACAGTCCTGGGGCTCAGGTGGCTCTGCCATCTTGCTGGGAAGGGTTTCGAAGCATGGCTCCAGAGACATCAGGACCCAGGGCCAAAGGGTGGCTGTGGTGGGAGGTAGATTTCCTGAGAAGAGCTCTCCAACCCAGGAGTGGGTGTGATGGGCTCCCTTGAAGAGGTGAGTATTCAAGAAGCGATCTTGCCGCCCTAACCGGTATGGCTCAGTGGATAGAGTGTCGGCTTGCAGACTGAAGGGTCCCAGGCTTGATTCTGGTCAAGGGCATGTACCTTGGTTGCGGGCACATCCCTAGTAGGGGGTATGCAGGAAGCAGCTGATTGATGTTTCTAACTCTCTACCCCTCTCCCTTCCTCTCTGTAAAAAAATCAATAAGATATATATATTTTTTAAAAAAGTGATCTTGCCTTAGCCAATTTGGCTCAGTGGATAGAGCACTGGCCTGAAGATTGAAGAGTCCCAAGTTCGATTCCGGTCAAAGATACATACCCAGGTTTCGGGCTCGATCCCCAGTAGGGGGCGTGCAGAAGGCAGCCGAGCAATGATTCTTTCTCATCATTGATGTTTTTATCTCCCCCTCCCTCTCCCTTCCTCTCTCAAATCAATAAAAATATATTAGGAAGAGATCTTATATAGGGAGGACATTCCTACAGTCCGAGGTTGAATTAGGTCACCTCTTGGATCCATTTCAACTCTCAAGTTCTGTGAACTTTGTCTGAAACCATCACAAACCCCTCCACCAGTGGCCAACCAGTCCTTGTATTAATGGTCAAAGGGACACAGCGCAGAAGAGAAGGATGAACTTTGAACTTTGACCCAAAAGGCCTGATGGGTTCTAATTCTTTGTCTTCCTCTATATTAGGCAAGTCAGACTTAATCCTTTGGGGACTCAGTTTCCTTCTTTATAAAATGGGGTAACACTATAGTTGTCTCTTGAACAGCATGAGTTTGAACAATCTGGACCCACTTTTACAGGGATATCATTCAGTAAGTACTATATTCTCCCTTTTTCATGATTTTCTTTTCTCTATTGTAAGGATAGAACATACAAAATATGTGTTAATTGACTGGTATTGGTAAGGCTTCTAGTCAACAGCAGGTTATGAGTAGTTAACTTTTGGAGGAGCCAGAAGTTATATGCAGATTTTTGACTATTTTTGACTGGTGTTCAGTGTCCCTGACCCCTGCTTTCTCAAGGGTCAACTGTACTCATCCGCCTGACTTACAGACACTCTGGGGGAAATATGAGCTCTGTACTATAGCCTGGGGCCCGCTGCACATAAAAGGAATTATAATGGACAAAGGTGGCAGCAGTTCTGACAATAATGACAGCCCAGTGGGGCTGAGTACAGTGGCCCCTGCTGCCCTGGGCCGCACTGCTTGGCCCCCACGTCCTCCTGTAACCCCCATCTCCCTCTTGCAGATCGACGCCGCCTCTTTGATTGCTGCCTCTGTGATGGCCGCCCCGTGCGCTCTGGCCCTCTCCAAGCTGGTCTACCCGGAGGTAGAGGAGTCCAGGTTCAGAAACGAGGAAGGAGTGCAGCTAAGCTCCGGGTGAGCACAGCAGGACTCATGCTGGTGCGGAGGTGGGGACAGGAGCAGAGGCAGGAGACAGCAGTGGGTCCTGTGTTCTCTGCCCTTCCACCACGCCCAGGCTCACCTCTTGCCTTAAACTGCCCTCTTTGTGGCTTCGCTTAGAAAAACTCGAACTCCAGTTCTTGCATCTTAATTTCCTTCTTGGAACAGCAGGAAACAATGGGCTGGTCAAGGCATGGGAGGGTGGCCTGGGTCTTGTGTGGTGAGGAGGGTCTTGCCACCTTCCCCACAAACCTTGAGCTCTGACCACCAGTGTGTCAATCACATATTCACTTACTGAGCGCTGTCCCGGATCTCACTCACCTCCTAACACCTCTTCATCATGTTCTTAACAGCTGCTGAGTAACATCTATCCTTTAAAAATGTTGAAAAGGGCCCTAGCTAGTTTGGCACGGTGGATAGAGCGTTGGCCTGCAGACTGAAGGGTCCTGGCTTCTATTCCGGTCAAGGGCACATACCCAGGTTGTGGGCTCGATCCCCAGTAGGGGGCCTGTAGGAGGCAGGCAATCAATGATTGTTTTTCATCACTGATGTTTCTATCTCTCTCTCCCTCTCTCTTCCTCTCTGAAATCCATCAAAATATATTTTAAAAATAAATAAAAATCTTGAAAAGATATCACTTTTGACAAATGAGCGTGGGGATACAGTATGCTCACAGCGCCCTGAAGGTTGAGAGCAGCACTGTCCTATAGAAATATGATCTAGAATTTTCTGGTCGCTGTCTTTTAAAAAGTAAAAAGAAGCAGGAGAGTTTAATAAAATACTTTATTAACCCAATATATCCAAAATATTATCTTCTCAACATTTTTATAAAATGATTTGTTTTCATATTGAATATTTTGGTACTAAATCTCTAAAAACCTAGTGTGTGATTTCCACTTACCACGCACCTCAGCTCTGAGCAGTCTCCTTTCAAGTGCTCCGAAGTCACATGTGGCTCGTGGCTCCTGTCGTGGGCTGCTTTGCCCTGGAAACCTGGGTCTCCTTCTGGTGCTGGGACCAGCCCTTCTCTCTGTGTGTGTCAAAGGGAAAAAACAAGGACCTTCGGCTCTGAACTACATTGCCCAGGGTTCTTTTCTGACCCCATAGGACAGTGATGGCGAACCTATGACACGCGTGTCAGAGGTGACACGCAAACTCATTTTTTTGGTCGATTTTTCTTTGTTAAATGGCATTTAAATATATAAAATAAATATCAAAAATATAAATCTTTGTTTTACTATGGTTGCAAACATCAAAAAATTTCTATATGTGACACGGCACCAGAGTTAAGTTAGGGTTTTTCAAAATGCTGACACGCCGAGCTCAAAAGGTTCGCCGTCACTGCCATAGGATGAGAGGCCTTGCTGTGTGTGTGGGGTCAGGCCAATAAGATGACTCTTGATCCCAACAACAGAGATGCTCAGAACATCTTAGAAGCCGCCAGCAGCGGGGCCGCCATCTCTGTGAACCTCATTGCCAACATCGTGGCCAACCTGATCGCCTTCCTGGCCGTGCTGGACTTCATCAATGCTACCTTCTCCTGGCTGGGGCACATGGTGAACATCCAGGGGCTCAGCTTTCAGGTACAGCCCCGGCCGACCCGCATGGCCTGGGGAGGGGGCAGTCCTGGGCAGTGGGTGGTGGTGGACATTCAGCAGAGCCCAGGCCAGCCCGGGTCCCAGCAGCTCCCCTTGCCTTGTGTCTCAGCTCATCTGCTCCTACATCCTGCGGCCGGTGGCTTTCTTAATGGGAGTGGCCTGGGAGGACTGCCCGGTGGTGTCCGAGCTGCTGGGGATCAAGCTGTTTCTGAATGAGTTTGTGGCCTATGAGAAGCTCTCCAAGTACAAGAACCGCCGCCTTACTGGGGTTGAGGAGTGGATCAATGGCGAGAAGCAGTGGATCTCCGTGAGTGTCCGGTCCCCTCCCTGAGGCAGGAGCATGACCCAGCTGCTCCTCCTGTTCCATGGGCCCTGTGTTCCACCTCCCACATCCTACTGCCCTGGGCCCAAGACGGCTTCGGGCCTCACGGCCATCACCTTGGGTCCTCAGGAGGCTGAGGTGCGGGGAAGGAGCCTTGTGGGAGATGTGGGAGATCTGGCCGTAGATGGGCTACCATCCTGTGTGGCCTTGGGCCAGCCGCTGCTCCTTGCCTCTCTAGAAAAACTGGTGTAACACCTGCTATATCTACCCCGAAGGAATAGGTATGAGCCTCCAGCGAGCCCTGAGGGTGAAGTAGGGAGACCTTACCACTACAGCCGCTGTCAGTACATTGCATTCAGTTCAGGGGTTGGCTCTTTCTGTTAAAATTTATTTTTAAAACTATAAAAGCTATAAAATGAACCTTTGTAAAAGAGTTCAAGCTCCATGTCACATCATCAGGAATGAAAATTTACCAATCTCACACCAGCCTAAAATAATAGCTATTGTTGTATACAGTTTCTTCTATTCTTTTAAAGATAATTTGTATAGTTTTCATTTTAGTATTCAAACTCTATTGTAGCCAGCTTTTCTCACCTACTATTATGACATAAGCATCATTTAAAAAGTATACTATATATATTTTTGTATTGATTTCAGAGAGGAAGGGAGAGAGATAGAGAGAGAGAGAAACATCAATGATGAGAGAGAATCATTGATTGCTACCTCCTGCACATCTCCTACTGGGGATTGAGCCTATAACCCGGGCATGTGCCCTGACCAGGAATCAAACCATGATCTCCTGGTTCATAGGTTAACACTCAACCACTGAGCCACACCGACTGGGCTAAGCTTCATTTTTTAAAAAAAAATATATTTTTTACTGATTCAGAGAGGAAGGGAGAGGGAGAGAGGGATAGAAACATCAATGATGAGAGAGAATCATGGTTCGGCTGCCTCCTGCACACCTCCCACTTGGAATCAAGCCCACAACCCAGGCATGTGCCCTTGACTGGAATTGAGTTAGGGACCCTTCAGTCCACAGGCCGACGCTCTATCCACTGAGCCAGACCAGCTAGGGCTAAGCTTCATTTTTGATATCTGTATTCTCACACATTACACATATCAAAAACGATATTGATTTGTCATCAGTTAAGGTGAATTCCGTTATTTGGCGATCATGCACAATGCTGAAGGGGATAGGTTTGTTTACAGAACTTTTCCCTGCTCTCCGATCATTCCCTCAGGAGCTTTTCCAGATGTGGGATGACTCAGTCAAAGGGCGTGAGTCCTGTGGTTGCTGCCAGTAACTTTCCCAAAGGGTTGTAGCAACTGAAATCACCCCCAGCTGTGCCTGTGAGCAACGCCTTCACCACACACTGAACAGCACTGAGTCGCCTCTTAAAAAAAGAAGTTCTAGTTGAATGGGCAAATAATAGCTCATGGTGTTCATTTATGTTTCTTGGGTTACTAGGAACTTTTAACATGAAATATTCGTTTTGTCTTTTAATTGTAAAGGAATGTACTCTTTCTAAAAAAAACTTTATGTGGAGTAAAAGGACAGTTTCCCTCTCACTCCTCATCCTCAGCTCCTCTCTCACTCTCTTCTGTAGAGATAGTGGATGGTACATTCCTTCAGGACCATTTTAAAAAATCCTTACCCGAAGATATGTTTATTGATTTTTTGAGAGAGAAAGGGAGGGAGAGAAACATCGATGTGAGAGAGAAACATTGATCTGTTACCCCCACACACACACTCCCCCTGACCGGGGATCGAACCTGCAACTTTTTGGTGTATGGTAAGTATGTACCCTGGTCGGGAATCAAACCCACAACCTTTTGGTGTATGGGACGATGCTCCAACCAACTGAGCCACCCAGCCAGAGCAGGGTCATTTTTTCATGAACTTCAGTCCTTCAGCAAGTATTTGTTGAGACTTCTGAGGTGCCATGCATTCTGTGAGGTACCAGGAATAGAAAGGGGAGTCAGACAGATCCTGGTGTCATGGAACTTACATCTAGTGAAGGACACAGGTAAAACAAAAGAAAGCAAAAGAATAAAAAATAAAATAACGACAATTCATGGTTTTATGAAGGAGACACCAGGAGGAAATGGGGGAGAGAGGGAGGTCTTTATTGGCTGGTCAGGAAAGGACTCTCTGCAATATGGAATTTAGGCCAAGACTTGGAGGGAGGAGAGGGGGCCAGGAGAAGCTGGGCAAAGCATTCCCGGGAAAGAGGTATGTGCAAAGGCCCTGAGGTTGAAAAGCACTTGTTTAGAGAACTGAGAGGAGAGAGTGCAGGTAGAGAAGGTGGTAATCATAAAAGACAGTGGCACAGGCCAAGGAGAAGTAGGATATTACTGACAATTTGACATTTCACATTTTAAGAGTACTTGGGCTGCTATATGGAGGGTAACTATAGGTGAGCAAGCAGGATGCAGGAGTCTTAATATTTATTATTTTTTTAAGTCTGTTTTTTAAAAAGTATATATGAATATATATATATGTATATATATATGTATATATGTATATGTATATATATATATGTATATATCCTTTCAAAGAGGAAGGGAAAGGGAGAGAGAGATAGAAACATCAATGATGAGAGAGAATCACTGATAGGCTGTCTCCTGCACGCCCCCTACTGGGGATCAAGCCCGCAACCCTGGGCATGTGCCCTTGATCAGAATCGAACCCGGAACCCTTCAGTCTATAGGCGGACACTCTATTCACTGAGTCAAACCAGCCAGGGCAGTAATGGCAAACCCATGACATGCATGTCAGAGGTGACACGCGAACTCATTTTTTTGGTCGATTTTTCTTTGTTAAATGGCATTTAAATATATAAAATAAATATCAAAAATATAAGTCTTTGTTTTACTATGGTTGCAAATATCAAAAAATTTCTATATATGACACGGCGCCAGAGTTAAGTTAGGGTTTTTCAAAATGCTGACACGCCGAGCTCAAAAGGTTCGCCATCACTGACTGCTAGGGCTATATATTTTATATTAATTTTAATAAACTCTTTATGGTATAAAGACATTAACCGTTTTCTGTTACATTGTCTACATATATTTGTCTCCCCCCCCCCACTTTATTTTGTATTCAGTGATTTTTCTTTTATCACACATTTTACACCAAATCTTTTCCTTTGGGATTTCTTCTAGTATTTCTAAACTTAGTTTTCTCCATTCCAGAAATCTGCTAAGTGTTAAATTTCTGGGACGTCATGGTGTTGTTAAAAGCATGAGCTCTGAAGGCAGAACTGAGTTCAAATTCTGACACAGCCGCATTCTTGCTGTGTGAACTTCCTCAGTTACCTAACCACTCTGAGGCTCGGCTTTCCCCTCTCCAAAATGAGAGTGATAACACTGCATTGGAACTATAATAATTATCCTATAGTTTGCATTATTTGCTGTTTAAAATATCAGTATTTATCTACTTCAATGATCTAGAATTTATTTTTTTATATGATATGAAGTATGGGTCTAAGCCAATCCCTGTCCCCTCCTCTCAAATTGTTGCATTTTGACTCAAAACACCTCTTTCCGGAAAATTAAGTAACTGTGCAGAGCAAAAGAGAAGAATTACCTTGCTTAAACTTGTACTGTGTGCCTGGTGTTTCCCATAGATGGTATGATCCTTCCAAGCTGGTACTGTCTTCCCCACCCTCCAGACGGAGGAACGAAAACATAAAGAGGCTATTGCCTTGCTCAACCTGATCATACCTGGGGACAAGCCTGGAACCCAAGTTGGTTGGGTTCCACGTCCCTCATTCTCTTCACGAGGCCACAATCCCTCCACCCTCAGAGTTCTCAGCAGAAGAGTCCACAGGAGTCAGGAGTGCAAGACTGTAGAGTGTTGGGAAGGGGCCAATCACCCAAGTGCCCCCTGGGTGCAGAGCTTGGTAGGACTGAGCCCGCCTGAATCACGTCCAGAAGGGCTGGTGATTAAGCTGAGCAGAGCAAAGGGCGCCTGAGGTGGTGCAGCTTGACCTGACTTAGAGGTGGGTGTGCAAGGCCTGGCAGGGCAGCACCGAGTATTCCCAAGGTCAAAGACACAGAACAGCCCAGCAGGTGTAACTCAGTGGCTGAGCATCCACCTATGAACTAGGAGGTCGAGGTTCCATTCCTGGTAGGGGCACATGCCAGGGTTATGGGCTCAATCCCCAGTGTAGGGTGTACAGGAGGCAGCCAATCAATGATTCTTTCTCACCATTGACGTTTTTATCTCTCTGTCTCCCTTCCTCTTTGAAATCAATAAAAATATATCTTAAAAAAACACACAGAGCAAGTGGGTGATGTGAAGGCCAGGGAGCCGGGTGGTGTAGGGTGCTCCCATCCCGTCTGAGGGAGCCCCTCCTCACTCATCCTCTGTAATTCCAGGTCCGAGCAGAAATCCTCACGACATACGCCCTGTGTGGATTTGCCAACCTCAGCTCCATTGGCATCATGCTGGGAGGCCTGGGTGAGTCTTGGGGGGCATCCCGGGCATCCTGGACTGTCGGGGACCTGGGCTCTAGTCCCGGCTATGAAACAACTTCCTGGGGACCTGTAGGTCTCAGTTCCCTGTCTTTGTCTAAGGAGAGGCCTGAATGAGATGGCCATGGAGGTTCCTCCCAGCCCAGGAATTCCATGATTTCTTGGCTTCTGGGTGCAGCCCAGGCCGAGCCTGGCTCTGGGATCTGGCGAGGGACCGGAAGCACGGTGCTGGTCTCTCTCCTAAGACCCTGGCCTGCCATTTCCCACTCCCAGTGGACAGGCAGGCTTGGGCACCCAGGGAGGCAGGCTCTGCCCAGCTCTCAGCTCTCTGCAGAAACCCCTTCCTTCTACTCTTCGCAGTCCCCCTGCCTGGGCTTGTAACCACCCCATTTTACAGAGGAGGACACGGATTCGTGGAGAAGTGAAGTGATAGCCTAAGTCACACAGCTGGCCAATGGCTAGGCCTGTATTTAATCCCAGGCCCACCTGACTCCAGACACAGGTTCTTTTCCTACATCTGCCTCCGGTGAGGTGTGTGGAGAGGTGTGGGGTGCTACCTAGTGGCCCAAGTCAGGCCAAGGACTCCCAAACTCAGCCAGTGTCAGGAGGACAGTGTCCATCCCTGGCTGCCTAGAAGAGAAAGGGGAGTCAGCAGACGCAGCAGCGGTGCAGAGCGTGGGCAGAGAGGCCCTCGGCGTCCTGGCCCTGAGCATTCCTGTCCCCTTGCAGCCTCCATGGTCCCCCAACGGAAGAGCGACTTCTCCCAGATCGTGCTGCGGGCACTCTTCACAGGGGCCTGTGTATCCCTGATGAACGCCTGTGTGGCAGGTGAGTCCCTGCCTGGCAGAGCCCTGATTTCTCACTGGGCTGGGCACTGGGGCTCTGGACTTTTCGGAAGTCCCTGAGGGTGGGAAGTGAGGGGATAGACCCTGCTTGCCATCTGCTTTCTCTGCACAGGGATCCTCTATGTGCCCAGGGAGGCCGAGGTCAACTGTACGAGCCTCCTGAACACAACCCTCAGCAGCACCAGCTTTGATGTGTACCAGTGCTGCCGCAAGGCCTTTCAGAGGTGAGGGCCAGGGGACGCCATGGGCACCTGGGCAAGGAATAGAAAGGTCATGGCCGTGGTTGATGTGGCCAGGGGAGGAGGAAGTGGGGCTTGAGGACCAAATTTGGGGAAGAAAGATGGACCAGAGACATGGAGCAACTTTTCCAGGGTTGCACAGCCTGTAGGGGCCAGCAGAGCCAGTGCTGGGGGTCAGACAAGCTTTTGCTTTCTTTCAGCACCAGCCCGGAGTTCAGCCTGGACAACTGCTGCCGATTTTACAACAACACAATCTGTCCATAGTGGGGCAGCATGACTTGGTGCCTTCTGGGGGCTGTTCTTCCCCAGGAGGCAGCTGACCCCACCTTTCCCTCTCCAGGCCTGTCCTCGGGAAAGCCCACTGGGAGGGAGCAGTGGCGTGAGTGGGCGGAGTCTGCCTTCTCTGTTCTCCCCTCCACATCCAACAGCACCCTGGTCTTTTTAGTCCCTTCCTACCATGGATCTCTCCCACGCACCCTTTCCTTCTCTTATGGCCACTTGCCCCTGGCATCTAGGCCCCCATCTTCCCTCTTCTCTGGCACATGGGGCTTACTGAGGCTTACCTCTGACCATGGTTTCTCCTGAAGGCCCCTTCCCCTACTTCCACAGACTCCCCACTGCCTTCCTTCATTGCACTTCCCAAACTGGTGTCCTGTGGAACACTCCCACAAGGTGTCCAGAACTTCCATGGTCCACTAGGTTTGGGAAACACTAGGCTAAATAAAGTTAGACAGGGGTTTTTTTTTTATTGTTTTATTGCTTAAAGTATTACAAGGAGTTATTATATATGTCTCCTTTTTTTTCCTCCCCTTGACCTTCCCCTAGCCTCCCATACCCCCCGGTGTCTTGTGTCCATTGGTTATGCTTATATGCATGCATACAAGTCCTTCGGTTAATCTCTTACCCACCCCCTCAACCCTCCCTGGCCTTCCTGCTGTAGTTTGACAGTCTGTTAGATGGTGCTCTGCCTCTGTATCTATTTTTTTTTATCAGTTTGTAATGGTCTTAATTATCCATAAATGAGTGAGATCATGTGGTATTTTTCTTTCATTGACTGGCTTATTTCACTTAGCATAATGCTCTCCAGTTCCATCCATGCTGTTGCAAATGGTAAGAGTTCCTTCTTTTTTACAGCAGCATAGTATTCCATCGTGTAGATGTACCACAGTTTTAACTTTTTGAGGAAACTCCATACTGTCTTCCATAGTGGCTGCACCAGTCTGCATTCCCACCAGCAGTGCAAGAGGGTTCCTTTTTCTCCACATCCTCTACAGCACTGTCAGAATGGCACCTCATTGTTGTTTTGATTTGCATCTCTGATGATTAGTGACTTTGAGCATGTTTTCATATGCCTCATGGCTTTCTGAATGTCCTCTTTTGAAAAGTGTCTATTTAGGTCCTTTGCCCATTTTTTGATTGGATTGTTTATCTTCCTTTTGTTAAGTTTTATGAGTTCCCTATAAATGATGGAGATTAAAGCCTTATCGGTGATAACATTGGCAAATATGTTCTTCCATGCGGTGGGCTTTCTTGTTGTTTTGTTGATGGTTTCTTTTGCTGTGCAGAAGCTTTTTATTTTGATATAGTCCAATTTGTTTATTTTCTCTTTAGTTTCCAATGCCCTAGGAGCTGTATCGGTGAAGAAATTGCTTTGGCTTATGTCTGAGATTTTGTTGCCTTTGGATTCCTCTACTATTTTTATGGTTTCCCGTCTTACATTTAAGTCCTTTATCCATTTTGAGTTTATTTTTGTGTATGGTGTAAGTTGGTGGTCTAGTTTCATTTTTTTGCATGTATCTGTCCAATTTTCCCAACACCATTTATTGAAGAGACTGTCTTGACTCCATTATATGTTCTTGCCTCCTTTGTCAAATATTAATTGAGCATATTGGTTTGGGTCGATTTCTGGGCTCTCTATTCTATTCCATTGATCTATATGTCTGTTCTTATGCCAGTACCAGGCAGTTTTGAGAACAGTGGCTTTGTAATACAGCTTGATATCTGGTATGGAGATCCCACCTACTTTGTTCTTCTTTCTCAGTATCGCTGCAGCTATTCGGGGTCTTTTTTTATTCCAGATGAATTTTTGGAGAGTTCATTCTAGGTCTGTGAAATATGCCGTTGGTATTTTAATGGGAAGTGTGTTGAATTTATAGATTGCTTTGGGTATTATGGACATTTTAATGATGTTGATTCTACCAATCCATGAACATGGTATGTTCTTCCATCTGTTTATGTCTTCCTCTATCTCTTTTTTCAACGTCCTGTAGTTTTCTGAGTAGAGGTCTTTTACCTCTTTGGTTAAGTTTATTCCTAGGTAGCTTAATTTTTTTGGTGCAATGGTAAATGGGATTGCTTTTTTAGTCTCTCTTTCTGTAGGTTCACTATTGGTGTATAGAAATGCCATAGATTTCTTGGTGTTAATTTTGTATCCTGCTACATTGCCGAATACATTTATTAAGTCTAATAGTTTTTTGATGGAGTCTTTAGGGTTTTTATGTACAATATCATGTCATCTGCAAATAAGGACAGTATTACTTCTTCTTTTCCAATTTGGATGCCTTTTATTTCTTCTTCTTGTCTAATCGCAATGGCTAATACTTCCAGTACTATGTCGAACAGGAGTGGTGAGAGTGGGCATCCCTGTCTTGTTCCTGTTCTTAGGGGAAATGGTTTTAGTTTTTGTCCACTGAGTATGATGTTGGCTGTGGGTTTGTCATATATGGCTTTTATTATGTTGAGGTATGATCCTTCTATTCCCACCTTGCTGAGAGTTTTTATCAAAAATGGGTGTTGGCGCCGAAACTGGTTTGGCTCAGTGGATAGAGCGTCGGCCTGCGGACTGAAACGTCCCAGGTTCGATTCCGGTCAAGGGCATGTACCTGGGTTGCGGGCACATCCCCGGTGGGAGATGTGCAGGAGGTGGCTGATCGATGTTTCTCTCTCATCGATGTTTCTAACTCTCTATCTCTCTCCCTTCCTCTCTGTAAAAAAATCAATAAAATATATTTTTTAAAAAAAAATGGGTGTTGGATTTTGTCAAATGCTTTTTCTGCATCAATTGATATGACTATGTGGTTTTTTTCTTTCAATTTGTTTATGTGATGTATCACGTTTATTGATTTGTGGATATTATACCATCCTTGCATCCCTGGGATAAATCCTACTTGGTCATGGTGTATGATCTTTCTGATGTACTGCTGGATCCGATTTGCTAAAATTTTGTTGAGGATTTTGGCATCTATGTTCATCATCAGCACTCACCTGCTCAGTCCCAGTCCGCCAGGTGCTGCTTCTGCTCCCTCAGTGTCAGTGTTTTACTGGACAACATTGGCTTTGCTCCTTGCAAGCCCCACAGGCTAGCCTGGGGTCCCTGACCTTAGGGTAGAAGTGCTTCCACTTAGCTCTGTATAGTGGCGTCTGGGCCTGATTCTCTTACCCCGTGGCCAGATCCTTGCCTTGCTCTTTGCAGTCCCCCACTTTGCCCCTATCCTTCCCCAACTCCCCTCGGGCCATCACGGGACATCCTGCTCTTGTGGACTGCGCAGCTGTCTCCCAGCATTGGACCCTGGTCCCTTTCCTGCATGATTGTGGGGTCATGAGCTGTCTACGGGCCCCCTGCCCTCCTTCCCTCCTTCCCTGGACTCCCTCCCTGCTCACTCAGCACATGGCTGGTGTCATTCCCAGAAGACTGTAAGCCCCGGGAAGACAGGGCTCAGTACCCAGTACCTAGTACCTCTCACAGTACCCAGCCCAGTGCTGGGCCCAGAAAATGTGCTGGGTAAATGCTCGTGGAATTGAATCGCACCTTCTCTCAGAGCCAACAGCGTATGCACCATCATAGGAGACGGAGTGTAATGTGATGTTATAAGGAATCGAATTGTGTCCCCCAAAAATATGTCCAAATCCTAACCTCGGTACCTGTGAATGTGAATTCACTTGGAAATAGGGTCTTACAGGTGCAATTAAGCTAAGTATTGCAGGATGAGATAATCCTGAATGTAGGGTGAGCCCTAAATCCAATGATTTATAAGAGAAGGGAGAGGGCGATTTGAGACAGGCACCGAGCGTACAATGAAGGCCATGAAGAGATGGAAGCAGAGACTGGAGTCATCCGCTCGAAGGCATAACTCCACGTGGGAAGCCAGGAGCCGCCAGAAGCTGGAGGAGATGTGGAAGGATTCAGATGGAGACGCCCTACAGGTTTTCGACTTCCGGCCTCCAGAATTGTGAGAGAATACATCTTGATTGTTTTAAGCCACTACGTTTGTGGTAATTTGTTCTGGCAGCCCTGGGAAACTTATATGGGTACTTTGAATGGGATCCTGAAATGGAAAAAATTGACATCAGTGGAAAACTGATGAAATCCAAATTAAGTATGGCATTTAGTTAGTAACATATTAATATCGGTTTGTTAGTTGTGAGAGTGTACCATCGTCATGTAGGATATGAACAACAGAGGAAACTGGGTGTGGGCTATATAGAAACTGTATTATTTGCCTAGCCTATTGAAAATGTAAAACTATTCTAAAATTTAAAAGTTAATTTTAAAACTGCATGGGAAAAATCTGCATTGACATAGGTGGAGTGTAACTTGCAATTCAGCCAGTGGGTGGTTCTGTCCCACACACTGTGTGTCTCAGTAGGCAAACTGCCAAGGCCTGTGGGTTGCCCAGTGGGCTATGTCTACTCCCTTCTCACCACTTCTTCCCACGGCCTTGCCCTCACCTCTCCTGTCCCCTCACTTACTTTTTTTTTTTTAATCCTCACCCAAGGATATTTTTCCATTGATTTTTAGAGAGAGTGGAAAAGAGAGGGAAAGACAGAGAGAAACATCGATGTGAGGGAATCACATCAATTGATTGCCTCCTGCATGCACCATGATCAGGGCCCGGGCTGGGGAGGAGCCTGCAACCGAGGTACATGCCCTTGACCAGAATCGAACCCGGGACCCTTTGGTCTGCAGGCCGATGCTCTATTCTCTGAACAAACCAGCTAGGGCTCCCGTCCCCTCACTTTAATTCAAGTGTACACCTTCAGTTGAATAGGAATCAGTCCTGACCTCTTTATAACCCCATGAAAAACATCATCTGCTTGGAATTATTTTTGACTCAGAATGAGTGAGCCCTGAGTTTGGACAGGACCCTAACCATCATTTTGAGGGTGTCTGCCCCTCCCAACTTTTCTGAGAATTTTTACCCCCACAGCATGGATGTCTCTGTCACCATGCTCTTATGTTTGAATCATGACACTCCACCCCCATGACCACCACTGATTGAACCAGGACTGAACGCCTGACTCAGAGGAAGCCAAATCCAAAGTCTTGCCAATGGCCTTCCAGATTCTTGGGAAAGAATATGAACTAAAAAACACCAGAATCAGAGCTGAGAGCCGAGTCACCACAGTGGGGCTGGCCTGGAGCTGATCTCATCCCCTCCCCACGCCCCACCCCCCACCCCCCACCCCCGTTCCGCAGCCAAGTTGCTCGGGTTTCCCTTGGGTCCAGTGAGAGCTGACTTCTCTCCAGAAACCCCACCTAACCTGAGCTGCCGCGAGAAGGTCACTCTTACTTGGTAACCGAAAGGACACTGGCTGGGAGAGCCACTCTGTTAAACTCCCCATTCCGCTTGGGATCAAGTAGTTGTGGTCGTTCACCATTTGCTTGAATACCATCAGAACAAGAATCTCACTTCGCCACGCAACCCGTTTCATAGTGGACAGCTCCGCTTCTTAGATGGGTCTTTTTGATTTTGCATCAAGAAGTGTTCCTTTTCATCCCAGTTTTGCCATTCTGGGCCCTTTAGAACAAGACCCATATTGTGTGTCTATCTTTATTGTTCTATTTTTTTTTTTTTT